CATTCCTGTAATCTTGATATTGTTACCTTCTAATTGCAGGCTAGCAGTGCAGCTGTCTGCCCAGACGCATTCCTACCTTCAGTCCCATGGAATCTGCAGCTGTCCGGAGAACGGAAATATTTGGAAGCTGCCCAAAGATACACGGCAATTCAAAGGCAGTGTTGTGTGTAGCTCAGAGGGGAGAGAAGTAAAAATCTAAGCAACTAGCTTGTCATAAAGCAACATCCAAAATGAAAATTCTCCTTCGAGAATTTCACCTTCAGAGGCTCTTAAAGCACAGGGGGGTGAAGCAACCTCGTATTTGGTGGAAAGACAATCTTTTTTCCTGACTTGAATTCATCTCACCCACTACTAAAAGAGCTTTCTGACACACAAGCTACACTCTGCATCTTATAAAGCATCAGTTGAGCTATAACTACATAAATTTACCTCCGCTGTGAGATAGAATATACTGACATAACCTTTTTAAAAAAAAGCTTCAATAAGAAGTTTTTACTTTGCCTTTGCAGCTGGCTAGGAAGCTGGGCTGAGGCATAGTTCTCAGTTAACTGGGAACCTGGTTATATGCCTTAGGGCTTTTAAGTGATTATTAGGGGCTGAGACCCCCCCAGTACCACTGCATATCACAGACGCAATGCTTGCTTACATGGTACCATGTTACTCCCCTGATTTTGTGCCAGACCAGCGAGACAGCTTTTATCAGAGATGAAGACGCTTCATGGAAAAAGTACATGAGTAAAAGTTCTCTTCTCATGCTATCTTACTCCCCTGATGTGCTCGAAGGCCAACTCTGGGTTCACCAGGGAGAGAGGAGTCAGGACTGCTCCTGAACAACAGACACTATTTCACATCACAGCTTCAGAGCACACACGTGCGAGGAAGAAGAGACATAGCACCATTTATAGCTGTTTGTTTCTGATACCTAGCCAAGAGAATCCAAGCTCCCTTCACCACATTCACTTTAAGGCCACAGACATAATTACAACATAATAATCTCCTCTGACTCCCAAGTGCCAACTGCCAGCATAACCACCCATCCTCACTACCCACAAGAGGTCACTGCCGTTCCAGGCAGTAATATTTTCACCGATCTAACAAGAGCTTCTCTGCCATATCTCTCTCACGATGAAGGCAGATGGCTCCAACACCAGCAGATGTACCTTGGTCTCCTTTTGCCATCCCTGCGTCATGCCCACAGCTTAGACAGAAGTAGTTTCAAGTAGGAGCCTGGAAAAAAGTAGCGACCCATTTCATTGCACCCATTAAAAAGAAGTAGATGTGTACTGAAATAACCAGAAGAAAAAATTTTAAAAAATCAACCATTAGAGGCTCAGTTTGGGCAAAAACCCTTTAATGTTTTGGTTTTCAAATCACCATGCAGCTCCTCTCAAGGAAGGCAGTACAACTGCTTCTTGTACTCAGTAGCCTCTCGGGGCTCAGCCTGGGAGCACCAAGACACCCAGCTCCCACCCACCTTCTCCAAGGAATGCAAAATTAAATGCATCGTGCATAATTTTTCACTGACACAGATCTTCTGCATAGCCTGGCTATGCCCATGCAAGACACTACGTATATATGAAAACATCTAGTCAAGAGTTAAACCTGATTCTCTGGGAACATAACACTAACCCTGGAATCGTAGCACAATAAAAAAAGCTAGCCAACAGTTTTACCAGCACCTGAGCTCTTCATGTCCAGGAGAACAAGACCATTTTTCTAATTTTTAAACGGACCATTTTCTAATCATCACCTGATCCTTAGGTTCACTGCATCAGCTGAAAGGAAGCCAGGGAAGCATGGTTCAGAGAAGCCTTCTGAAACACGAAAATCCTCATGTTTGTCCTTTGTTGCCTTTTGTAGCATGTGACAAAAAAAATTCTACATTTCTAGCAGTCCTGGTACAGATTAAGGACCTAATCCTTGACTTTATTAACCCCATCTATTCCATTTTGGATAGACACTAATACAGACAGTTTTTGATACAGTATTAATGAAAGACATTAGGGCTGCTCAAGAAATTCCAAAATGATCACTGACAGCCTTCATAACAATTCCTCAGTAGCTGCCCCCTCCAGGCAACAACTTCATATAGACTTAGAAGAATCAAGCAAAAAACCCACAAGGAAATACATTCCCTACATATCTACCAAGAACGCTAAGAAACAAGGCAGTCAAATAGGTGCAGACACTATAGCCAACTCTCATGTTGCTCTTCTCAGAAAAATAGCTTTCAGAGATTTGAATGGTTTTATTTGGCAAACACTGGAGTCAAGACAACTCTGTTACAAGTACAACTAGGTACTACTGTGTCAAGTAGGAGGAATCTGACATTCACACGTGAAGAGCCACGCTGGAAGCTGGGTGCAGTGGGAGGCCATTTTACATACGGA